CGGTAGCAAACGCGACGTCCGGTCGGGTGTTTACCGCCGCATACATGAGGCTGCCCACCAACGAGTGAAATCGGCGCCTCTCCTCTTCTCCAACGCTCTCCTCCTCTGGCCCCTTCACACACTTGAACCCAGAGGGAAAGGGAGTAGCCACATGACCTTCACTCTGGCCGAAGTTGGCAGCCAACGCCTCCAGGTACTTCCGTTGGTGCACTCGCATGCTCCGCTTCTCCACGTCTCGTTCGATGTGGAGCCCAAGGTAGAAGTTCACGTCACCAAGGGACTTGCACTTGAACTTGTCATGCAGCTTCAGAATCACCTCCTTCACAAGGTCAGAGGAGGGTGAGAATATGAGAATGTCATCCACATAAACCACCATGAAGCTCCTCTGCTCCCCCTCGCCAAGCATGAACAAGGAGTGATCGGCCGTTGAGGGAGTGAAGCCGATCTCCTCCAACACTTCGCGCAGCTTCATGTACCATTGCCTAGGGGCCTGCTTCAGCCCATAGAGGGCCTTCTTCAGCTTCCACACTCTGCCACTACCATCATCAAACCCCTCTGGCTGTGCCATAAAAATCTCCTCCTCAAGGATGCCGTTAAGGAATGCCGTCACAATGTCCATTTGCTTCACCACCCATCCTTTGATGGCGGCTCCCGCGAATAGGGTTCGCAGCGTCGTCGGCTTCACCACAGGGGCAAACAGCTCCTTGAAGTCCACCTTCTCCTTCTGCTGGTACCCCTTGGCTACAAGCCTAGACTTGTAACGCTCGATCTTGCCGTCGGCATCCGACTTGATTTTGAAGAGCCACTTGGACGTTATCGCCGTACGCCCCTCCGGTAGCTCCACCAATTCAAACGTGTCATTCTCCTCGATGCTCTTCAGCTCACTCTCCAATGGCCTTCTTCCACTCCTCAGCATCACTACTCTCCAAAGCCTCCTTGAGAGTTGCTGGTTCTCCCGGCATCTCCACCGGAGAGAAGAACGCGAAGGCACACTCCTCGTAGTCACTCTCCGCATCGTCTCTGACCATCATTGCCGCTCCGGCCAGGGCTGTCTTGCCTTGCTTTCCAAGTGCATCATAGGTCAGCCTATTAGGGGGTTGAACTCTCCTCTTCCCCCTTCCTTCCTCCTCAGCTGCAGCGACTTGAAGGCCTTGGCGTTGCTGCGGTGTGGCTCGATTCCGTGGAGCACTCGTGGTACGGGAAGGGAGTGACGGTGCACGCTCACTCACTTGCTGCACCTCCTCCTCTTCTTCCTCTGCATCAGTGGCCTCCTCTCCCCCTTCACAAGGGAGGATTGCCTCGTGGTTGTGCTGCCGCTGCTCAGCTCCAAAGGCAGCTCCACATGCTCCAAACCGGAACTCTTCACCTCCCCAAACCGCACGCCTATCTTCGCCTCATTCTCCGCCTTCCAATTCCTTGTACATGAAGTTCTCCATGAACTTGCAGTCCCTGCTCACCAAGAACTTCTTGGTGAATGGGTCCCAAGAAGCCATCCCTTGCTGTTTTGAGCCATGCCCAAGTGCACGGCCCACACCGCCTTGGCACCAAGCTTGTTGTGCCGAAGATGCTTAGGCACAAGCGCCATGCACATGCACCCGAACACCCGAAGCATATCCACCTTTGGCTTCCTTCCTAGCCACTCCACATAGGGCACCCATTTGTCTGCTCCCACATGAGTCAAGGCTCTGTTCTTGGCCACACATGCGCTCCGCACCGCATCAGGCCATAAATAGTCGGGTAGCCCGGCTTCAATGAGCAACCCGCGTGCCGCCTCCGTGATTGTGCGGTTCGCTCGCTCAGCGATGCCGTTCATTGCAGGGGAGTATGGCATGGTGAGGGAGTGTCGAATACCATTCTTCTTCAGCCACAACCCAAACTCCTTGCTCAGGAACTCTCCCCCTCGATCGGTGCGGATTGACTTGACTAGACGGTCTTGTTGCCGCTCCACCATCGGGAACCAATCCGCCTTCAACGTTTCAGCCACGTCGCTCTTCTTGGCCAGCACGTATACCCAAGTCATACGGGTGTAGACGTCAACAATAGTGAGGAAGTACTCAGCTCCAGCAGCTCCAAGCTTCAGGGGGCCCACCACGTCCATCACCACCTCATCAAGTGGTGCCTTAGCCGTTGCCTCCGAACTAGAGAATGGGAAATCGGGTGAACTTGGCTTGCATGCACGTCGGGCAGCCAAGTACCTCATCGGGCTCCCCCTTCACACGTATGCCAGCAACCATCTCATTCTTCAATAGCTGCTGCAAGATGGGCAGGGCCACATGCCCCATGCGCCGATGCAAGGTGAGCCAATCACACTCCCCCGTAGCCGAAGTTGGATTGGAGAATGCCGCGCTCGCAATAGCGCCCCACATACTCTCTCCGTAGTCCTCCTCCGCTGTTGCCTCGGGGTTCTCCTCACCCTTTTGCTGCTCCTTGGTTGCTGCACCACTCTCCTTAGGTTCACTGAACTTGCTGGTCCCTCCAAGATTGCACTTCTTGGACTCCTTCTCCTTAGCGCGACCGTCCGCGCAATCGCCGCTACCAACCGCTCCACCTTTAGTGCTGACGCTTGCTGCCACTTGCCTCTCCTTAGGCATTGGGACCACAGGGATCTTCCACATCTCGTTGTAGACATCTCTGTCCTCATGAAGGTCCCAAAGAATCCGATCGCCAAGCCTTGCGGTGTAGGTCTTGGCTCCCTTTGAGTTAGTGTCATGCCGGCCTTTGCCAACCGCCGCACGGAAATCAGGTTTGCAGCAAGGCTGGGCACCCAAAGCACGTTCTTGAGGCCCACCATCTTCCCATCAGCACCCTTGAACATGGCCTTCCCCATGCCTTTCACCTCTGCTCGCTGCCCCAAAGCCGATGTGACATGCTTCACCGGTGACGGCTCGAGTTCGGTGAGCAAGTCCGGGCGAGGTGTCATGCTATAGGTAGCGCCACTATCAATCACCCAATAGTCCAGGGGGTGTAGGGTCACCTTCCCCACAGCTGCTGGCTCCTCAAAGCCTTCATCCTTCTCTGGACCAGCCGGGTACTTGCGTCGACACGAAGTAGAATAGACCCGGGTATCGATCGTCGCTCGGGTCCTTGTCGTTGTCTCCGCTCTTCATGTTTGCAGCTCCGCCACCGCGACCGCCACGGCCTCCACGGCCTCTTCCTCTCCCTCCTCCTGCTCCTCTACCCTCTTGGCCTTGAGCAGGGGTCCAACCATCAGGGAGTTTGTAGCAGTCGCGCCACATGTGTCCGCTCTTGTGGCAATAGTGACACTCGCCGTCGAATCGGCCGCGACCGCGTCCGTAGTTCTTCTCGTCGCTGCCGTAACCGCCACTCCCACGGCCTCCGCCGAAGTTGCTGCCACCAAACCTTCCTCCCCCTCGTCCTCTGCCTCTTCCTCGACCATATCCACGGCCGATGCTCGCTGCCCCAGCGCCATCCGCACTCGCCAATTCACGGCGGCGGAAATCCTCTTGAAGGATAGCTCGCTTCACGTCTTCAAGCGAGAGGCGGGGCAAGTCACGATTAAGGTTGATGATGAGCGAGGACCATGACTCCGGGAGTAGGGCCAGCAACTTGGTCTTCTTTTGGAGCTCACTATAGTTCAAATCAGCTCCCTCAAGCCGCGTCAACAAGTCGAAGAATTTCTGCACCCCTTCTTCAACCGCTTCATCCTCTTCAATTCGTAACGTCGCCATTTGCCGTTCCAACACCACAGCTACCGCCGCTGTTGCAGGAGCGTGTACACCCTTGAGAGCAGCCCATGCTTTTGGTCCCTTCTCTGGTTCACGCTGGAAGGGCTTGATGTGACGGATTTGGCTGCTCCCCAACGCTTGCCCAAGTAGGAGGTAGCCTTATGCGCTCTTCCGCACCCACGGGCTCTTCTCCGGGCCGTTCTCGGGACGCTGCTCCGTTCCTTCCATCACCTCCAGCAGGTCATAGTGGTCAAATATGTTCTCCATTCTGAAGGACCACTCAGCAAAGTTGTCACCATTGAACTTGTCAAGGCCAAACACTCTAGGCTCATCCCTAGATGGGCCAACACTTGGTTGCACGGGCGCCATGGCTGAGTCACGGGGTTGGCCTTGAGCTTGGGCTTCTCCTTCTGCCACCAGCACCTCTGCCACCCCTTTCCTCAGGTCCAGCCATTGTCGAAACTGCTCCCGAGGGGCTCTGATACCACTTGTTATAGTCACAGTAGGCTCCAATGTGCCTAAAACGAAAGATAGAGTGCACAGTCGGATTTCTGCACAGCGGCTTCAAACGTTCATAACGTTTTGGTCACAGCTCCAAATGCCTTGATTCAACTTGGATCTGGAGCGCCTTATTGTCGCCTACAATAGGCAATTTAGATCGCACGATTTGACCAAGTATTGACGACACAGGGTTGGTTTGAACGAACGGCACTATGGCAGCCACTATGGTCTTAGAACACAAGATAGGAAAGGTTAGGAAGAGTTACGAGTTGGGAATGACTCCCAGCTCCTACAAACCCCAAGAGCCGAGGTACAGTGATGTGGAACAGTGCCACACTGTCCCCAACCACGAAGGGTCTCGAAACTACCCTTCACTAGGGCCTACACCAAGTGAAATGTTACACTACACAAAGTAATGTAACTATCTTCAATATCTTGAGGTGTACCCTTTTGGCGAGCTTTGAAATCACTTGTGGATTGACACCAAGGCTCGGCTCTTCATCACAAACTCATCCTTGAGTTCTTGATGGGTCTGCTGCACACACCTGCGACACACCGAACGTTCGACACAGGACAAAAGAGAAACCGCGCACGACAAAATAGAAACCGCGCGCGAGACACAAACGACCACGTAACACGCGTCTAGCGATAACTTGCTATTGACTCGACACATACACTCGACATCATGACTCAACATTCACACACAATTATAAGCATTAAATATATATTATCCCATGCCCTCATACCATTCCATAGACACACACACATGCACGCACACGGACAACAAGCCGAGTGCAAACCATAGGGTTGCACCAACAGGAAAGCGAGAGAATGGGGCTGGGTGATGGAAAGCGGGAGAATGGGGCGAGGTGATGGAAAGCGGGAGAATGGGGCGGGGTGATGGAAGGAGGGAGAATGAGGCAGGGTGATGGAAGGAGGGAGAATGGGGCGGGGTGATGGAAAGTGGGAGAATGGGTCGGGGTGATAGAAAGCGGGAGAATGGGTCGGAGTGATGGAAAGCGGGAGAATGGGGCGGGGTGATGGAAAGCGGGAGAATGGGGCGGGGTGATGGAAAGCGGGAGAATTGGGCGGGTGATGGAAAGCGGGAGAATGGGGCGGGGTGATGGAAAGCGGGAGAATGGGGCGGGTGATGGAAAGCGGGTGAATGGGGTAGGGGTGATGGAAAGCGGGAGAATGGGGCGGGGTGATGGAAAGCAAAAGAATGGGGCGGGGTGATGGAAAGCGGGAGAATGGGGCGAGGTGATGGAAAGCGGGAGAATGGGGCGGGTGATGGAAAGCGGAAGAATGGGGCGGGGTGATGGAAGGAGGGAGAATGGGGAGGGGTGATGGAAAGCGGTGGAATGGGGCGGGATGATGGAAGCGGAAGAATGGGGCGGGGTGATGGAAAAGCGGGAGAATGGGGCGGGTTGATGGAAAGCGGGAGAATGGGGCGGGGAGATGGAAAGCGGGAGAAAGGGGCGGGGTGATGGAATGCGGGAGAATGGGGCGGGCTGATGGAAAGCGGGAGAATGGGGCGGGGTGATGGAAGGAAGGAGAATGGGGCGGGGTGATGGAAGGAGAGAGAAGGGGGCGGGGTGATGGAAAGCGGGAGAATGGGGCGGGGTTATGGGAAGCGGGAGAATGGGGCGGGGTGATGGAAAGCGGGAAAATGGGGCGGGGTAATGGAATGAGGGAGAATGGGGCGGGGTGATGGAAGAAAGGAGAATGGGGCGGGGTGATGGAAGCGGGAGAATGGGCGGGGTGATGGAAGGAGGGAGAATGGGGCGGGGTGATGGAAAGCGGGAGAATGGGGCGGCGTGATGGAAAGCGGGAGAATGGGGCGGGGTGATGGAAAGCGAGAGAATGGGGCAGGGTGATGGAAGGAGGGAGAATGGGGAGGGGTGATGGAAAGCGGGGGAATGGGGCGGGATGATGGGAAGCGGAAGAATGGGGCGGGGTGATGGAAAGCGGGAGAATGGGGCGGGGTGATGGAAAGCGGGAGAATGGGGTGGGGAGATGGAAAGCGGGAGAAAGGGGAGGGGTGATGGAAAGCGGGAGAATGGGACGGGCTGATGGAAAGCGGGAGAATGGGGCGGGGTGATGGAAGGAGGGAGAATGGGGCGGGGTGATGGAAGGAGGGAGAAGGGGGGCGGGGTGATGGAAAGCGGAAGAATGGGGCAGGGTGATGGAAAGCGGGAGAATGGGGCGGGGTGATGGAAAGCGGGAGAATGGGGCGGGGTGATGGAAAGTGGAGAATGGGGCGGGCTGATGGAAAGCGGGAGAATGGGGCGGGGGTGATGGAAGGAGGGAGAAGGGGGCGGGGTGATGGAAGGAAGGAGAATGGGACGGGGTGATGGATAGCCGGAGAATGTGGCGGGGTGATGGAAAGCGGGAGAATGGGGTGGGGTTATGGGAAGCGGGGAGAATGGGGCGGGGTGATGGAAAGCGGGAGAATGGGGCGGGGTGATGGAAGGAGGGAGAATGGGGCGGGGTGATGGAAAGCGGGAGAATGGGGCGGGGTGATGGAAAGCGGGAGAATGGGGCGGGGTGATGGAAAGCGGGAGAATGGGGCGGGTTGATGGAAAGCGGGAGAATGGGGCGGGGTGATGGAAGGAGGGAGAATGGGGCGGGGTGATGGAAAGCGGAAGATTGGGGCAGGGTGATGGAAAGCGGGAGATTGGGGCAGGGTGATGGAAAGCGGGAAAATGGGGCGGGGTGATGGAAAGCGGGAGAATGGGGCGGGATGATGGAAAGCGGGAGAATGGGGCGGGGTGATGGAAGGAGGGAGAATGGGGTGGGGTGATGGAAGGAGGGAGAAGGGGCGGGGTGATGGAAAGCGGGAGAATGGGGCGGGGTGATGGAAAGCGGGAGAATGGGGTGGGGTGATGGAAGGAGGGAGAAGGGGGCGGGGTGATGGAAAGCGGGAGAATGGGGCGGGGTGATGGAAAGCGGGAGAATGGGGCGTGGTGATGGAAATCGGGAGAATGGGGTGGGTTATGGGAAGCGGGAGAATGGGGCGGGGTGATGGAAAGCGGAGAGACGGGGCGGGGTGATGGAAGGAGGGGAGAATGGGGCGGGGTGATGGAAGGAGGGAGAATGGGGCGGGATGATGGAAAGCGGAGAATGAGGCGGGGTGATGGAAGGAGGGAGAATGGGGCGGGGTGATGGAAAGCGGGAGAATGGGGGCGGGGTGATGGAAAGCGGGAGAATGGGGCGGGGTGATGGAAGGAGGGAGAATGGGGCGGGGTGATGGAAGGAGGGGAGAATTGGGCGGGATGATGGAAGGAGGGAGAATGGGGCGGGGTGATGGAAGGAGGGAGAATGGGGCGGGGTGATGGAAAGCGGGAGAATGGGGCGGGGTGATGGAAAGCGGGAGAATGGGGCGGGGTGATGGAAAGCGGGAGATGGGGCGTGGGTGATGGAAAGCGGGAGAATGGGGCGGGGTGATGGAAAGTGGGAGAATGGGGCGGGCTGATGGAAAGCGGAGAATGGGGCGGGGTGATGGAAGGAGGGAGAATGGGGCGGGTTGATGGAAGGAAGGAGAATGGGACGGGGTGATGGAAAGCCGGAGAATGTGGCGGGGTGATGGAAAGCGGGAGAGTGGGGTGGGGTTATGGGAAGCGGGAGAATGGGGCGGGGTGATGGAAAGCGGGAGAACGGGGCGGGGTGATGGAAGGAGGGAGAATGGGGCGGGTTGATGGAAGGAGGTAGAATGGGGCGGGATGATGGAAAGCGGGAGAATGAGGCGGGGTGATGGAAGGAGGGAGAATGGGGCGGGGTGATGGAAAGCGGGAGTATGGGGCGGGGTGATGGAAAGCGGGAGAAATGGGGCGGGGTGATGGAAGGAGGGAGAATGGGGCGGGGTGATGGAAGGAGGGAGAATGGGGCGGGATGATGGAAGGAGGAGAATGGGGCGGGGTGATGGAAGGAGGGAGAATGGGGCGGGGTGATGGAAAGCGGGAGAATGGGGCGGGGGTGATGGAAAGCGGGAGAATGGGGCGGGGTGATGGAAAGCGGGAGAATGGGGCAAGGTGATGGAAAGCGGAGAATGGGGCGGGGTGATGGAAGGAGGGAGAATGGGGCGGGGTGATGGAAAGCGGAAGATTGGGGCAGGGTGATGGAAAGCGGGAGATTGGGGCAGGGGTGATGGAAAGCGTGAAGATGGGGCGGGGGTGATGGAAAGCGGGAGAATGGGGCTGGGTGATGGAAAGCGGGAGAATGGGGCGGGAGATGGAAAGCGGGAGAAAGGGCGGGTTGATGGAAAGCGGGAGAATGGGGCGGGCTGATGGAAAGCGGGAGAATGGGGCGGGGTCATGGAAAGCGGGAGAATGGGGCGGGCTGATGGAAAGCGGGAGAATGGGGCGGGCTGATGGAAAGAGGGAGAATGGGGCGGGGTGATGGAAGGAAGGAGAATGGGGCGGGGTGATGGAAAGCGGGAGAATGTGGCGGGGTGATGGAAAGCGGGAGAATGGGGTGGGTTTATGGGAAGCGGGAGAATGGGGCGGGGTGATGGAAAGCGGGAGAATGGGGCGGGGTGATGGAAGGAGGGAGAATGGGGCGGGGTGATGGAAGGAGGGAGAATGGGGCGGGGTGATAGAAAGCGGGAGAATGGGGCGGGGTGATGGAAGAAGGGAGAATGGGGCGGGGTGATGGAAAGCTAGAGAATGGGCGGGGTGATGGAAAGCGGGAGAATGGGGCGGGGTGATGGAAAGCGGGAGAATGGGGGCGGGGTGATGGAAAGCGGGAGAATGGGGCGGGGTGATGGAAAGCGGGAAAAAGGGGCGGGGGTGATGGAAAGCGGGAGAATGGGGCGGGGTGATGGAAAGAGGGAGAATGGGGCGGGGTGATGGAAAGCGGAAGATTGGGGCAGGGTGATGGAAAGCGGGAGATTGGGGCGGGGTGATGGAAAGCGGGAAAATGGGGCGGGGTGATGGAAAGCGGGAGAATGGGGCGGGGTGATGGAAAGCGGGAGAATGGGGCGGGGTGATGGAAGGAGGGAGAACTGGGGCGGGGTGATGGAAAGCGGGGGATTGGGGAAGGGTGATGGAAAGCGGGAGAACGGGGCGGGGTGATGGAAAGCGGGAAAATGGGGCGGGGTGATGGAAAGCGGGAGAATGGGGCTGGGTGGTGGAAAGCGGGAGAATGGGGCGGGGTGATGGAAAGCGGGAGCATGGGGCGGGGTGATGGAAGGAGGGAGAATGAGGCAGGGTGATGGAAGGAGGGAGAATGGGCCGGGGTGATGGAAAGCGGAGAATGGGGCGGGGTGATGGAAAGCGGGAGAATGGGGCGGAGTGATGGAAAGCGGGACAATGGGGCGGGGTGATGGAAAGCGGGAGAATGGCGCGGGGTGATGGAAAGCGGGAGAATGGGGAGGGGTGTTGGAAAGCGGGAGAATGGGGCGGGGTGATGAAAAGCGGGAGAATGGGGCGGGTTGATGGAGAGCGGGAGAATGGGGCGGGGTGATGGAAAGCGGGAGATGGGGCGGGTGATGGAAAGCGGGTGAATGGTGTGGGGTGATGGAAAGCGGGAGAATGGGGCGGGGTGATGGAAAGCAGAAGAATGGGGCGGGGTGATGGAAAGTGGGAGAATGGGGAGGGGTGATGGAAAGCGGGGGAATGGGGCGGGATGATGGGAAGCGGAAGAATGGAGGCGGGGTGATGGAAAGCGGGAGAATGGGGCAGGGTGATGGAAAGCGGGAGAATGGGGCGGGGAGATGGAAAGCGGGAGAATGGGGCGGCGGGTGATGGAAGGATGGGAGAATGGGGCGGGGTGATGGAAGGAGGGAGAATGGGGCGGGGTGATGGAAAGTGGGAGAATGTGGCGGGGTGATGGAAAGCGGGAGATAGGGCTGGGGTTATGGGAAGCGGAGAATTGGGCGGGGTGATGGAAGGAGGGAGAATGGGGCGGGGTGATGGAAAGAGGGAGAATGGGGCCGGGGTGATGGAAAGCAGGAGAATGGGGCGGGCTGATGGAAAGCGGGAGAATTGGGCGGGGTGATGGAAAGCTTGAGAACGGGGCGGGGTGATGGAAAGCGGGAGAATGGGGCGGGGTGATGGAAAGCAGGGGAATGGGGCGGGGTGATGGAAAGCGGGAGAATTGGGCGGGTGATGGAAAGCGGGAGAATGGGGTGGGGTGATGGAAAGCGGGAGAATTGGGCGGGGTGATGGAAAGCGGGAGAACGGGGCGGGGTGATGGAAAGCGGAAGAATGGGGCGAGGTGATGGAAAGCGGGAGAATGGGGCGGGGTGATGGAAGGAGGGAGAATGGGGCAGGGTGATGGAAAGCGGGAGAATAGGGCGGGGTGATGGAAAGCGGGAGAATAGGGTGGGGTGATGGGAGCGGGAGAATGGAGCGGGGTGATGGAAAGAGGGAGAATGGGACGGGGTGATGGAAAGCGGGAGAATGAGGGCGGGGTGATGAAAGCGGGAGAATGGGGCGGGGAGATGGAAAGCGGGAGAATGGGGCGGGGTGATGGAAGGAGGGAGAATGGGGCGGGGTGATGGAAGGAGGGAGAATGGGGCAGGGTGATGGAAAGTGGGAGAATGTGGCGGGGTGATGGAAAGCGGGAGATGGGGCTGGGGTTATGGGAAGCGGAGAATTGGGCGGGGTGATGGAAGGAGGGAGAATGGGGCGGGGTGCTTCCATCACCCCGCCCCATTTTCGCGCTTTCCATCACCCCGCCCCATTCTCCCGCTTTCCACCACCCCGCCCCGTTCTCCCATTTTCCATCACCCCGCCCCGTTCTCCCGCTTTCCATCACCTCGCCCCGTTCTCCCGCTTTCCATCACCCCGCCCCGTTCTCTCGCTTTCCATCACCCCGCCCCATTCTCCCCCTTTCCATCACCCCGCCCCAGTCTCCGCTCTCAATCACCCCGCCCCATTCTCCCGTTTTCCATCAACCCTCCCCATTCTCCCTCTTTCCATCACCCCACCCCATTCTCCCTCTTTCCATCACCCCGCCCCATTCTCCCGCTTTCCATCACCCCGCTCCATTTTCCCGCTTTCCATCACCCCGCCCGATTCTCCCTCTTTCCATCACCCCTCCCCATTCTCCCTCTTTCCATCACCCCGCCCCATTCACCCTCTTTCCATCACCCCGCCCTATTCTCCCTCTTTCCATCACCCTGCCCCATTCCCCCTCTTTCCATCACCCTGCCCTATTCTCCCTGTTTCCATCACCCCGCCCCATTCTCCCTGTTTCCATCACCCCGCCCCATTCTCCCACTTTCCATCACCGTGCCCCATTCTCCCACTTTCCATCACCCCGCCCCATTCTCCCGCTTTCCATCACCCCGCCCCGTTTTCCCGCTTTCCATCACCCCGCCCCGTTCTCCTGCTTTCCATCACCCCGCCCCATTCTCCCGCTTTCATCACCCCGCCCCGTTCTCCCATCCATCACCCCGCCCCGTTCTCCCGCTTTCCATCACCCCGCCCCATTCTCCATCGTTTCATCACCCCGCCCCGTTCTCCCGTTTTCCATCACCCCGCCCCATTCTACCCCTTTCCATCACCCCGCCCCGTTCTCCCGCTCTCAATCACCCCGCCTCGTTCTCCCCCTTTCCATCACCCCTCCCCAGTCTCCCTCTTTCCACCACCCCGCCCCGTTCTCCCTCTTTCCATCACCCCGCCCCATTCTCTAGCTTTCCATCACCCCGCCCCATTCTACCGCTTTCCATCACCCCGCTCCATTCTCCCGCTTTCCATCACCCCGCCCAATTCTCCCTCTTTCCATCACCCCTCTCCATTCTCCCTCTTTCCATCACCCCGCCCCATTTTAACGCTTTCCATCACCCCGCCCCATTCTCCCTCTTTCCATCACCCCACCCCATTCTCCCGCTTTCCATCACCCCGCTCCATTCTCCCTGTTTCCATCACCCCTCCCCATTCTCCCTCTCCATAACCCCGCCCCATTCTCCCGCTTTCCATCACCCCGCCCCATTCTCCCGCTTTCCATCACCCCACCCCATTCTCCCGCTTTCCATCACCCCGCCCCATTCTCCCGCTTTCCATCACCTCGCCACATTCTCTCGCTTTCCATCACCCCGCCCCATTCTCCCGCTTTCCATCACCCCGCCCCGTTCTCTCGCTTTCCATCACCCTGCCCCGTTCTCCCGCTATCCATCACCCTGCTCCATTCTCCCGCTTTCTATCACCCCGCCCCGTTCTCCCTCTTTCCATCACCGCGCCCTGTTCTCCAGCTTTCAATCACCCCGCCCCATTCTCCCGCTTTCCATCACCGCGCCTGTTCTCCGGCTTTCAATCACCCCGCCCCATTCTCCCGCTTTCCATCACCCCGCCCCATTCTCCATCCTTCCATCACCCCGCCCCATTTTCCCGCTTTCCATCACCCCGCCCCATTCTCCCTCTTTCCATCACCCCGCCCCATTCTCCCGCTTTCCATCACCCCGCCCCATTCTCCCGCTTTCCATCACCCCGCTCCATTCTCCCGCTTTCCATCACCCCTCAACATTCTCCCTCTTTCCATCACCCTGCCCCATTCTCCCGCTTTCCATCACCCGCCCCATTCTCCCTCTTTCCATCACCCCTCCCCATTCTACTACTTTCCATCACCCCGTCCCATTCTCCCGCTTTCCATCACCCCGCCATTCTCCCGCTTTCCATCACCCCGCCCCATTCTCCCCAATCCATCACCCGCCCCATTCTCCCTCTTTCCATCACCCCGCCCCATTCTCCCCCAATCCATCACCCCGCCCCATTTCCACTCTTCCCATTACCCCGTCCCATTCTCCCGCTTTCCATCACCCCGCCCCATTCTCCCGCTTTCCATCACCCCGCTCCATTCTCCCGCTTTCCATCACCCCGCCCCATTCTCCCGCTTTCCATCACCCCGCCCCATTCTCCCGCTTTCCATCACCCCGCCCCATTCTCCCGCTTTCCATCACCGCGCCCCATTCTCCCGCTTTCCATCACCCCGCCCCATTCTCCCGCTTTCCATCACCCCGCCCCATTCTCCCTCTTTCCATCACCCCGCCCCATTCTCCCGCTTTCCATCACCCTGCCCCATTTTCACTCTTTCCATCACCCCGCTCCATTCTCCCGCTTTCCATCACCCCGCCCAATTCTCCCTCTTTCCATCACCCCTCCCCATTCTCTTTTCCATCACCCCGCCCCATTCTCCCGCTTTCCATCACCCCGCCCCATTCTCCCTCTTTCCATCACCCGGCCCCATTCTCCCTCTTTCCATCACCCCGCCCCATTCTCCCGCTTTCCATCACCCCGCCCGCTTCATTCTCCCGCTTTCCAACACACTGCTCCATTCTCCCGCTTTCCATCACCCCACCCCATTCTCACTCTTTCCATCACCCCTCCCAATTCTCCCTCTTTCCATCACTCCGACCCATTCTCCTGCTTTCTATCACCCCGCCCCATTCTCCCTCTTTCCATCACCCCGCCCCATTCTCCCGCCTTCCATCACCCCGCCCCATTCTCCATCTTTCCATCACCCTGCCCAATTCTCCCCCTTTCCATCATCCCGCCCCATTCTCCCGCCTTCCATCACCCCGCCCCATTCTCCCTCTTTCCATCACCCCGCCCCATTCTCCCGCTTTCCATCACCCCGCCCCATTTTCCCTATTTCCATCACCCCGCCCCATTCTCCCGCTTTCCTACACCCCGCCCCATTCTCCCGCTTTCCATCACCCCGCCCTATTCTCCCGCTTTCCATCACCCCGCCCCATTCTCCCGCTTTCCATCACCCAGCCCCATTCTCCCTCTTTCCATCACCCCGCCCCATTCTCCCGCATTTCATCACCCCGCCCCATTTTCCCTCATTCCATCACCCCGCTCCATTCTCCCGCTTTCCATCACCCCGCCCAATTCTCCCTCTTTCCATCACCCCTCCCCATTCTCCCTCTTTCCATCACCCCGCCCCATTCTCCCGCTTTCCATCACCCCGCCCCATTCTCCCTCTTTCAATCACCCCGCCCCATTCTCCCTCTTTCCATCACCCCGCCCCATTCTCCTGCTTTCCATCACCCCGCCCCATTCTCCCTCTTTCCATCACCCCGCCCCATTCTCCCGCTTTCCATCACCCCGCCCCATTCTCCCTCTTTCCATCATCCCGCTCCATTCTCCCGCTTTCCATCACCCCGCCCAATTCTCCCTCTTTCCATCACCCCTCCTCATTCTTCCTCTTTCCATCACCCCGCCCCATTCTCCCGCTTTCCACCACCCTGCTTTCCATCACCCCGCCCAATTCTCCCGCTTTCCATCACCACGCCCCATTTTCCCTCTTTCCATCACCCCGCCCCATTCTCCCACTTTCCATCACCCCGCCCCATTCTCCCGCTTGCCATCACCCCGCCCAATTCTCCCTCTTTCTATCACCCCTCTCCATTCTCCCTCTTTCCATCACCCCACCCCATTCTCCCGCTTTCCATCACCCCGCCCAATTCTCCCTCTTTCCATCACCCCTCCCCATTCTCCCTCTTTCCATCACCCCGCCCCATTCTCCCGCTTTCCATCACCCCGCCCCATTCTCCCTCTTTCAATCACCCCGCCCCATTCTCCCTCTTTCCATCACCCCGCCCCATTCTCCTGCTTTCCATCACCCCGCCCATTCTCCCTCTTTCCATCACCCCGCCCCATTCTCCCGCTTTCCATCACCCCGCCCCATTCTCCCTCTTTCCATCACCCCGCTCCATTCTCCCGCTTTCCATCACCCCGCCCAATTCTCCCTCTTTCCATCACCCCTCCTCATTCTTCCTCTTTCCATCACCCCGCCCCATTCTCCCGCTTTCCACCACCCCGCTTTCCATCACCCCGCCCAATTCTCCCGCTTTCCATCACCACGCCCCATTTTCCCTCTTTCCATCACCCCGCCATTCTCCCGCTTTCCATCACCCCGCCCCATTCTCCCCAATCCATCACCCCGCCCCATTCTCCCTCTTTCCATCACCCCGCCCCATTCTCCCCCAATCCATCACCCCGCCCCATTTCCACTCTTCCCATTACCCCGTCCCATTCTCCCGCTTTCCATCACCCCGCCCCATTCTCCCGCTTTCCATCACCCCGCTCCATTCTCCCGCTTTCCATCACCCCGCCCCATTCTCCCGCTTTCCATCACCCCGCCCCATTCTCCCGCTTTCCATCACCGCGCCCCATTCTCCCGCTTTCCATCACCCCGCCCCATTCTCCCGCTTTCCATCACCCCGCCCCATTCTCCCTCTTTCCATCACCCCGCCCCATTCTCCCGCTTTCCATCACCCTGCCCCATTTTCACTCTTTCCATCACCCCGCTCCATTCTCCCGCTTTCCATCACCCCGCCCAATTCTCCCTCTTTCCATCACCCCTCCCCATTCTCTTTTCCATCACCCCGCCCCATTCTCCCGCTTTCCATCACCCCGCCCCATTCTCCCTCTTTCCATCACCCGGCCCCATTCTCCCTCTTTCCATCACCCGCCCCATTCTCCCGCTTTCCATCACCCCGCCCGCTTCATTCTCCCGCTTTCCAACACACTGCTCCATTCTCCCGCTTTCCATCACCCCACCCCATTCTCACTCTTTCCATCACCCCTCCCAATTCTCCCTCTTTCCATCACTCCGACCCATTCTCCTGCTTTCTATCACCCCGCCCCATTCTCCCTCTTTCCATCACCCCGCCCCATTCTCCCGCCTTCCATCACCCCGCCCCATTCTCCATCTTTCCATCACCCTGCCCAATTCTCCCCCTTTCCATCATCCCGCCCCATTCTCCCGCCTTCCATCACCCCGCCCCATTCTCCCTCTTTCCATCACCCCGCCCCATTCTCCCGCTTTCCATCACCCCGCCCCATTTTCCCTATTTCCATCACCCCGCCCCATTCTCCCGCTTTCCTACACCCCGCCCCATTCTCCCGCTTTCCATCACCCCGCCCTATTCTCCCGCTTTCCATCACCCCGCCCCATTCTCCCGCTTTCCATCACCCAGCCCCATTCTCCCTCTTTCCATCACCCCGCCCCATTCTCCCGCATTTCATCACCCCGCCCCATTTTCCCTCATTCCATCACCCCGCTCCATTCTCCCGCTTTCCATCACCCCGCCCAATTCTCCCTCTTTCCATCACCCCTCCCCATTCTCCCTCTTTCCATCACCCCGCCCCATTCTCCCGCTTTCCATCACCCCGCCCCATTCTCCCTCTTTCAATCACCCCGCCCCATTCTCCCTCTTTCCATCACCCCGCCCCATTCTCCTGCTTTCCATCACCCCGCCCCATTCTCCCTCTTTCCATCACCCCGCCCCATTCTCCCGCTTTCCATCACCCCGCCCCATTCTCCCTCTTTCCATCATCCCGCTCCATTCTCCCGCTTTCCATCACCCCGCCCAATTCTCCCTCTTTCCATCACCCCTCCTCATTCTTCCTCTTTCCATCACCCCGCCCCATTCTCCCGCTTTCCACCACCCTGCTTTCCATCACCCCGCCCAATTCTCCCGCTTTCCATCACCACGCCCCATTTTCCCTCTTTCCATCACCCCGCCCCATTCTCCCACTTTCCATCACCCCGCCCCATTCTCCCGCTTGCCATCACCCCGCCCAATTCTCCCTCTTTCTATCACCCCTCTCCATTCTCCCTCTTTCCATCACCCCACCCCATTCTCCCGCTTTCCATCACCCCGCCCAATTCTCCCTCTTTCCATCACCCTCCCCATTCTCCCTCTTTCCATCACCCCGCCCCATTCTCCCGCTTTCCATCACCCCGCCCATTCTCCCTCTTTCAATCACCCCGCCCCATTCTCCCTCTTTCCATCACCCCGCCCCATTCTCCTGCTTTCCATCACCCCGCCCCATTCTCCCTCTTTCCATCACCCCGCCCCATTCTCCCGCTTTCCATCACCCCGCCCCATTCTCCCTCTTTCCATCACCCCGCTCCATTCTCCCGCTTTCCATCACCCGCCCAATTCTCCCTCTTTCCATCACCCTCCTCATTCTTCCTCTTTCCATCACCCCGCCCATTCTCCCGCTTTCCACCACCCCGCTTTCCATCACCCCGCCCAATTCTCCCGCTTTCCATACCACGCCCCATTTTCCCTCTTTCCATCACCCCGCCCCATTCTCCCACTTTCCATCACCCCGCCCCATTCTCTCGCTTTCGATCACCCCGCTCCAATCTCCCGCTTGCCATCACCCCCGCCCAATTCTCCCTCTTTCTATCACCCCTCTCCATTCTCCCTCTTTCCATCATCCCGCCCCATTCTCCCGCTTTCAATCACCCCGCCCCATTCTCCCTCTTTCCATCACCCCGCCCCATTCTCCCGCTTTCCATCACCCCGCCCCATTCTCCTCTATTTTATCAGCCCGCCCCATTCTCCCGCTTTCAATCACCCCGCCCCATTCTCCCGCTTTCCATCACCCCGCCCCATTCTCCCGCTTTCCATCACCCCGCCCCTTTCTCCCGCTTTCCATCACCCCGCCCCATTCTCCCGCTTTCCATCACCCCGCCCCATTCTCCCTCTTTCCATCACCCCGCCCCGTTCTCCCGCATTCCATCACCCCGCCCCGTTCTCCCGCTTTCCATCACCCCGCCCCATTCTCCCCCTTTCCATCAGCCCGCCACATTCTCCCACTTTCCATCACCCCGCCCCATTCTCCCTGTTTCCATCACCCCGCCCCATTCTCTCGCTTTCCATCACCCCGCCCCATTCTCCCTCTTTCCATCACCCCGCCCCATTCTCTCTCTTTCCATCACCCTGCTCCATTCTTCCGCTTTCTATCATCCCGCCCAATTCTCCCTCTTTCAATCACCCCGCCCCATTCTCCCTCTTTCCATCACCTTGCCCCATTCTCCCGCTTTCCATCACCCCGCCCCATTCTCCCTCTTTCCATCAGCCCGCCCCATTCTCCCGCTTTCAATCACCCCGCCCCATTCTCCCGCTTTCCATCATCCCGCACCATTCTCCCTCTTTTCATCAACCCACCCCATTCTCCCGCTTTCCATCACCCCGCCCTATTCTTCCGCTTTCCATCAACCCCCTCATTCTCCCGCTTTCCATCACCCCGCCCCATTCTCCCTCTTTCCATCACCCCGCTCCATTCTCCCGCTTTCCATCACCCCGCCCAATTCTCCCTCTTTCCATCACCCCTCCTCATTCTTCCTCTTTCCATCACCCCGCCCCATTCTCCCGCTTTCCACCACCCCGCTTTCCATCACCCCGCCCAATTCTCCCGCTTTCCATCACCACGCCCCATTTTCCCTCTTTCCATCACCCCGCCCCATTCTCCCACTTTCCATCACCCCGCCCCATTCTCTCGCTTTCGATCACCCCGCTCCAATCTCCCGCTTGCCATCACCCCGCCCAATTCTCCCTCTTTCTATCACCCCTCTCCATTCTCCCTCTTTCCATCATCCCGCCCCATTCTCCCGCTTTCAATCACCCCGCCCCATTCTCCCTCTTTCCATCACCCCGCCCCATTCTCCCGCTTTCCATCACCCCGCCCCATTCTCCCTCTTTTTATCAGCCCGCCCCATTCTCCCGCTTTCAATCACCCCGCCCCATTCTCCCGCTTTCCATCACCCCGCCCCATTCTCCCGCTTTCCATCACCCCGCCCCTTTCTCCCGCTTTCCATCACCCCGCCCCATTCTCCCGCTTTCCATCACCCCGCCCCATTCTCCCTCTTTCCATCACCCCGCCCCGTTCTCCCGCTTTCCATCACCCCGCCCCGTTCTCCCGCTTTCCATCACCCCGCCCCATTCTCCCCCTTTCCATCAGCCCGCCACATTCTCCCACTTTCCATCACCCCGCCCCATTCTCCCTGTTTCCATCACCCCGCCCCATTCTCTCGCTTTCCATCACCCCCCCCATTCTCCCTCTTTCCATCACCCCGCCCCATTCTCTCTCTTTCCATCACCCTGCTCCATTCTTCCGCTTTCTATCATCCCGCCCAATTCTCCCTCTTTCAATCACCCCGCCCCATTCTCCCTCTTTCCATCACCTTGCCCCATTCTCCCGCTTTCCATCACCCCGCCCCATTCTCCCTCTTTCCATCAGCCCGCCCCATTCTCCCGCTTTCAATCACCCCGCCCCATTCTCCCGCTTTCCATCATCCCGCACCATTCTCCCTCTTTTCATCAACCCACCCCATTCTCCCGCTTTCCATCACCCCGCCCTATTCTTCCGCTTTCCATCAACCCGCCTCATTCTCCCGCTTTCCATCACCCCGCCCCATTCTCCCTCTTTCCATCACCCCGCTCCATTCTCCCGCTTTCCATCACCCCCAATTCTCCCTCTTTCCATCACCCCTCCTCATTCTTCCTCTTTCCATCACCCCGCCCCATTCTCCCGCTTTCCACCACCCCGCTTTCCATCACCCCGCCCAATTCTCCCGCTTTCCATCACCACGCCCCATTTTCCCTCTTTCCATCACCCCGCCCCATTCTCCCCACTTTCCATCACCCCGCCCCATTCTCTCGCTTTCGATCAACCCGCTCCAATCTCCCGCTTGCCATCACCCCGCCCAATTCTCCCTCTTTCTATCACCCCTCTCCATTCTCCCTCTTTCCATCATCCTGCCCCATTCTCCCGCTTTCAATCACCCCGCCCCATTCTCCTCTTTCCATCACCCCGCCCCATTCTCCCGCTTTCCATCACCCCGCCCCATTCTCCCTCTTTTTATCAGCCCGCCCCATTCTCCCGCTTTCAATCACCCCGCCCCATTCTCCCGCTTTCCATCACCCCGCCCCTTCTCCCGCTTTCCATCACCCCGCCCTTTCTCTCCCGCTTTCCATCACCCCGCCCCATTCTCCCCGCTTTCCATCACCCCGCCCCATTCTCCCTCTTTCCATCACCCCGCCCCGTTCTCCCGCTTTCCATCACCCCGCCCCGTTCTCCCGCTTCCATCACCCCGCCCCATTCTCCCCCTTTCCATCAGCCCGCCACATTCTCCCACTTTCCATCACCCCGCCCCATTCTCCCTGTTTCCATCACCCCGCCCCATTCTCTCGCTTTCCATCACCCCGCCCATTCTCCCTCTTTCCATCACCCCGCCCCATTTCTCTCTTTCCATCACCCTGCTCCATTCTTCCGCTTTCTATCATCCCGCCCAATTCTCCCTCTTTCAATCACCCCGCCCCATTCTCCCTCTTTCCATCACCTTGCCCCATTCTCCCGCTTTCCATCACCCCGCCCCATTCTCCCTCTTTCCATCAGCCCGCCCCATTCTCCCGCTTTCAATCACCCCGCCCCATTCTCCCGCTTTCCATCATCCCGCACCATTCTCCCTCTTTTCATCAACCCACCCCATTCTCCCGCTTTCCATCACCCCGCCCTATTCTTCCGCTTTCCATCAACCCGCCTCATTCTCCCGCTTTCCATCACCCCCACCATTCTCCCGCTTTCCATCACCCCGCCCCATTCTCCCGCTTTCCATCACCCCCCCCTATTCTCCCTCTTTCCATCACCCTGCCCCATTCTCCCGCTTTCCATCACCCAGCCCCATTCTCCTTCTTTCCATCACCCCACCCAATTCTCCCGCTTTCCATCACCCCGCCCCATTCTCCCTCTTTCCATCACCCCGCCCCATTCTCCCGCTTTCCACCACCCCGCTCCATTCTCCCCTTTCCATCACCCCGCCCCATTCTCCCTTTTTCCATCACCCCTCCCCATTCTCCCTCTTTCCATCACCCCGCCACATTCTCCCGCTTTCCATCACCCCGCCTCATTCTCCCTCTTTCCATCACCCCGCCCCATTCTCCCGCTTTCCATCACACCGCCCCATTCTCCCTCTATCCACAACCCCGCCCTATTCTCCCTCTTTCCATCACCCCGCCCCATTCTCCCGCTTTCCATCACCCCCCCCCATTCTCTTGCTTTCCATCACCCCTCCCCATTCTCCTGCTTTCCATCACCCCGCCCCATTCTCCCGCTTTCCATCACCCCCGCCCCATTCTCCCTCTTTCCATCACCCCGCCCTATTCTCCCTCTTTCCATCACCCCGCCCCATTTTCCCGCTTTCCATCACCCCGCCCCATTCTCCCGCTTTCCATCACCCCACCCCATTCTCCCGCTTTCCATCACCTCGCTCCATTCTCCCGCTTTCCATCACCCCGCCCAATTCTCCCTCTTTCCATCACCCCTCCCCATTCTCCCTCTTTCCATCACCCCTCCCCATTCTCCCGCTTTCGATCACCCCGCCCCATTCTCCCGCTTTCCATCACCCCGCCCCATTCTCCCGCTTTCCATCACCCCGCCCCATTCTCCCGCTTTCCATAACCCCGCCCCATTCTTCCGCTTTCCATCACCCCGCCCCATTCACCCCGCCCCATTCTCCCTCCTTCCATCAACCCGCCCCATTCTCCCGCTTTTCTTCACCCGCCCCATTCTCCCTCTTTCCATCACCCCGCCCCATTCTTCCGCTTTTCATCACCCTACCCCATTCTCCCTCTTTCCATCACCCCGCCCCATTCCCCTCTTTCCATCACCCCGCCCCACTCTCCCCCCTTTTCTTCACCCCGCCCCATTCTTCCGCTTTCCATCACCCCGCCCCATTCTCCCGCTTTCCATCACCCCGCCCATTCTCCCGCTTTCCATCACCCCGCCCCTTTCTCCCGCTTTCCATCACCCCCCCATTCTCCCGCTTCTTATCACTCCGCCCCATTCTCCCGCTTTCCATCACCCCGCCCCATTCTCAAGCTTTCCATCACCCCGCCCCATTCTCCCGCTTTCCATCACCCCGCCCCATTCTCCCGCTTTCCATCACCCCGCCCCATTCTCCCGCTTTCCATCACCCCGCCCCATTCTCCCGCTTTCCATCACCCCGTCCCATTCTCCCGCTTTCCATCACCCCGCCCCTTTCTCCCTCTTTCCATCACCCCGCCCCATTC